AAAAAAAAATACAGTCAATAATGACAGATATCATTATACATTAAAACAGCTCACTATAATGTTTCATTTTTTAAAGTTATTAATTGTATAAATACAAAAATAATAATAATAATAATAATAATAATAATAAAGTGAAAACAATAATTTTTTTTTTTAGATATTTCGTCGTCAAAGTTACCTTTTTACTCATTTATGCAACAATTTTCGTCTTTGGTCTATTTGGCAATTTTGGTGTTTTAATAAAAGTGCTACGACATCGTCGACATCGTTCACCGCAAAATTATTTTTTGTTAAATTTGATTGTTACTGATATTTTGCTATGCTTGGCAGCTGTACCAGCAACACCATTATATGGCTTAACCAGAAACTGGAACTACGGAATTCTTGTCTGTCGTTCAGTAAACTTCATTAATTCATTAGCAGTATTTGTGTCAAGGTAAAAAAACAAATAAAAACATTGTTAATCTAAACAGATTTGCTGTAAAAAAAAAAATCAAATTTTTTTTCTGTCTCTTGTCTGCAAGTTTAAGTAACAGAGATTTATAGGTAACAGTTTAAAGTAAAGCAAAAAAAAAAAAAAATATTAATTTTATTACTATACTGTCAGTGGTAGCTGCTTTCTGAGTCATCATTAAACAAAAATTGTTACTGAATCCTGTATAAAACTGGTTGATTAGATGCATTTTGAGAGTATCAGTAAAAGTAAATACAATTAACAGAAGTCAAATGGTTAGTTAATAGCAGCAGCTGTAATCAAATAATGGCAGAATTAAGCTATGCAGATAGGCAACACAAAAGAAATGTTGTAGCTGAATTTTTCACTCTTACTTTTCAACTTCAATATTTTGATAGATAATGACCAAAATTTTTGAACAATATAATTTCAGTTGGTGCTTAGCTACAATAGCACTAGATAAATACCTCCATATTATCAAACCAACACGGGCAACAATGAATTTTAAAAGTGGTGCTTATATAACGTTGGCAATCTGGACATCATGTTCAGTGATCAATGTACCGTTTGTTATGAGCTATCAGATCGTCGATGGCCGATCAATGAATCTGTCTACACCGCTGTGTGAAACATTCTGTGAAGAAGTGAATTGGGGTAGCGTTTTTCCACGACGATTGTACGGTGCTGCAGTTGTTGTACTACAGGTTTTTATTCACCGATTTACATTAACGCTGTAAACATTTAGACCAAAAAAACAGTAGAAAAAACTAATGCAAAAACAAGAAGGTGATTAGCAAAGAAAGGGAACAAGAAATACAGAAAAAACTTCACAGTTGATACTGTTCTAACAAAAAAATTTTCAGAAGAAAAAAACAACCATGTTTATCGATATTATTAATGTTTCAGTTGACTTTTTTATCGTAAAATTTCAGTTTGTAATTCCGTTAATTATTATTACATTTTGTTATGCGCGTATACTTCGAAAGGTATCTAATGATATGATTGTTCACAACGAAAAATTCAGTGATTGCTTGACGGCTGAACAAAGAATATGTGCACTAAACCGAAAAAATAAGGTTTCTATTTGGACATCTGTTTCTTCTGTCATACTACCAAAAAATTCCTAGACAGCATTTTTGTTTTTCTTTTTTTTTTCTAGGTTTTGTTAAGTAATACTCTTTATATTTGAATATTTTACTGTTTTAGGTTTACTATATATTGATCTCAATGGTGGTTACATTTGTGGCTTCTTGGACGCCAATAACATTGGTGAATGCAGCCAAAGATTTTCGTAAGATTAACTTTTTGTTGTTGGCTATTGATAGCCAAAAATAACAATCCGCTTTCATCCTTCTTTGCTCTTCTTTTTTTCTTCTTAATCTTTGGCTTAAACTTCAGACGTCATCGACTTTTGCGCATTGACAACATCATGTTTGCAGAGTTTGACGGTGATTTCATGAACTCTCAACCATATTTTATACCGTTGTGTTCACATGTATTTGCGATGGCATCAATTATTGTCAATCCAATACTGCTGTTCTGGCTAACAAAACGGGTACAAAAGTCTAAACTTAGTCGTATTTCGTCGCTTGGTTTCAACTCAATAATGTCTCGTGTCAGCTTTTTATGTCGACGTGCATCGGTTCGAAATTTTGATAGAACATTTAGGTAAAAATAGCCGCTAAGTTTTTTTTTTTCACATTTAAAGCCATTTTTCCGTCAGTTTTCATGCATAATTCAACATAACAAAAAAAAAAAAACTTCTTTTTTTCATTGCTTTGTCTTTAGAAATATTAAACTAAATTTTAATGTATAATTTTTGCTTTATTAAAAATAACAATCAATTTTTTGTAAAAAATATTCAAAAACCAATTTTAGAAGCCTGGAAAGCAGTGAAAAATCGGCTGAAAGACATAGCTCAAATACATTATTGATGGTTGATACCCAAGCCAGTATTGCTAAAAAGTCTAGTATTTATACCAATCATTTGAATACATATCTGTGAATATAGTTGTCTGTTACTTTTTTTAGCTTTTACTACATCATGTTTTTTCTCTTGAAACACAATAGAGACATTTCAGAGCGAAAAGGCAATAAAAAAAAGAAAAAAAAAAAA